GTTTGCATTACAGTAAGCAATGTTCTAGTGAAAATAGGCTGAAAATAACCCTGAGAGGCCTGTTTCTAACCTCATGAAGGCAGCAGTAGGAGAAATTCTTATTTTATTTATTTTTAATTTTTATTGATACGTATGTGTATCAGCATATAACACGTATGTGTGCCCATGAAGACCAGAAGAGGATGTTATAAACCCTTCGAGCTAGAACTATAGGCAGTTGTGGGCCAGCAGACTTGGGTCCTAGGAATAAAACTTCGGTCCCAAGAAGAGCAGCAAGTGCTCTTACCCACTGAGCCATCTCTCCAGTTCCTGAAATTCCTGTTTTATCATTTAAAAAGTAGAAAGATTTTAGGGGAGCAGGGGCAGAATCTCTCTAGTCCAGGTTCAACCTCTGGTTTATGTGATCTGTTTTGTAAGGGAAGTAGGGAGTTTGATTTAGACACTATCAATGTCTAAATCAAGGACATTATATAGATATTTTGAATGGTTATGTTTCCCTCTAATAACATATTTCCCAAAAGCTAAAGTGATAAATAATCTGAAAGAAAGTTTCTTGGGACTTTAATAGCTATGGACATACTACAGCTGCACACACACTAACTGCATGATTGTGACATGAGGAACCCTCCTATCAGAGAGCTGTTACATACAGACTGGAAGGATAAAAATGATCTTCGGGATAAATTGAGTACGACCCAGAGTTCCTCTTTATCATTTTCAAGGTTATTAGAGGATTTCATTAGAATTATGAAAATAATTGACAAAATTAGCATGAGTGGTGGAAAAATACTAACTCCTTTTTAATAATTCCTTGTACTATTTCATACTTGGAAGATTATTTGTGAATTACACAGTTACCCAGTTAAACCAAAGCTGATTTTAAAAATAGTGTCAGAAAGGGTTTTTTAAACCAGGTCATAAAGAAAAACTCTTCATGTATCTGAAAACAGATTAGTTAGTATTTGAATTTAATGATAATGTGTTTAGTATTTCCTGATATAATATGATCACATTATTATAAAGGAAGTTATGTGAGTCTGAGTAATTTTTTGTTAATTATATATTTAAAAATAACTAAATGAGATGTCCTGTCATAGTAAGAATCTAATTATTTTGGTCCATTACAGTCTCATTAAAAATCCTCATATTTTTATGTTTGTAATATCTTTCACACAGATCTGCAATTACCAACTGTACTAATTAATTATATTTTCACCATAATTAAGTAAAAACATATTATTTGACCCATAAAAATAGAATTCTAAAAAATATCAGTAAAAAAATGTACTGATAACAAAAAATAATCAAAATTGCTTATAATTTCTTAATGTGTTTATATTTACTTTGCTGTTAATGATTTCTACTTTATGGGATGGAATTACATTGAGCTTTAGTTTCTTAGAAACCATCATGATAAGATTCTTTGATCTGGGCCTATCGGCTGTAGGCACATCATACTACACTGTCAGAATATCTACAATAAATCAAGCTCTTGTAGCAGTATGTAGCCTTGTCGATGTCAATTTTAGCAGACGGAAGGCAGAGCACAGTTAATACCATCTCTTTTACATTTTAGAATACAAAATTAAATTTCATGTGTTGCATCTTGGTTTAATTTGTTTTATTTGCATGGGAGATTTTCACTGAATTCATTGTCCAATGAAACAATTTATATTGACAGCAAAATTTTTCTGAAAATAATCTAAGAAGACGCAAACAATGAACAATTAAACTAACCATATATGATAATCAATTTATTGTCCAAAATAGTAAAGATTTGTTTGAATAGACATTTTAAAAGTTTATACTGATATATATTGACAAATATATATAAGATATGTATGTGTTTATGTGTATTATATATCACTTTATGCTTAAAATAATAAAATTACATATCAAGTCTAACTCTACATATAGTATGGCATATGTGTTTAGGGAGTAAGGAATAAGACATCTAATATTTAAGTCATGAGATGGGGACTCTGTAACAGCACTACAACCTTATTCCTCACAGCCAAAGAAATTCCAGAAGATGGTATTTATCTATGTGTTATCTATCTTCTCTCCTTAACACATAGTAAAGGTCATAAGCAGAAAATAATCACAAAGAAATGTGCATGTCTGTCTACCTATCTCTCATTATTCCTGCCTTCTGCAGAAATGAATGTTAAGGAGCTATGTATGAGAGCATATGAGCAGATATTAGTGAGTGGAAAAGCCGTAAACGCATAATGTGTGATATCAATGAACTGAGATTAGAGCCATAACTGTTTCTAATTTTTTTAAGAAAAAGGTTAGGGAAAGAGCATTTAATGAGGCATGATGACACATGTCCATCATCTCAGCACAGTGAAAGCTGTAACTTGTGAGTGATTTCAGTTACTGTACTAAACTGTAGGCAGGATGGGAACTAATGTTGCTGATGTTTTGGGGCCATAGCTTTGCTCTTTGTCATTATGACACCCTAGAAATTATGCTCCCCGACTGGTATTATACAAATTGGGTTTTCCTACAGCATCAACTTCTTCCCCAACCAAGTTTTAAGAAATGGTTTTCCATGTTATTCCCATGTTATGGGAATATTGCCTTTAAGATGTCATAATTATTAAGTGAGCTTCATGTCCAAGGATCATGTTTAAATATAAAGTGTGGCTAATAACCTTGATATTTAGGTGAGGAAATTTCAGGAAATTGATTCATTTTTATAACCTTGGTTTTGTCATTTGTAAAATATGAATGATTATACTAACTCCTAGATCTACCTTAGATATGAATATGAGAACGAATATCACACACCTATTTTGATATTTAGTAAAATTCGCCGACTGGTTGCTGAACGGCTTTCAGGATCATTAAGAAACACGGAGCATTGCCATTGCATTAAAAATGTACACAAACTGCACAGGCTTAATGCAGTTCACAATAGGTGTGCCTCTTTCACCATACCGCAGGGCTTTCCCTATGCCACTCAGAGATTACAAATTACAGATTACAAAATCTCTGGTTTCCTTGTCTACCACTTGAAAGGAGCTGATTATCAGTCAATCTGCATGTTTTGCAGTTTTCCTGCTTCAGTCTCTGCTCCTAATTCTCACAGTAGGCCTGACTAGTAGACATGAGCGGTAGCCGTGTCTCGGAGAAGATGCTATGCAACTTAAAATCTAATCTGCTAAGGTAATACGTTCTTTATGTTTTGGTTCTTCCTCACTCAAGATTTTGAGACATGGGAAAATTGCAGCCCAGATAGCCTACTCTCAGAACAACATCTGTTCTCCTCTCGGACTCTGTACCCACATACTCTCTGCATTTGCAATGCCATTCTGGTTTTCTTAGATCCCACCAGAGTCACCAGTTAAACTCATCTGATAGTATTTTAGGGATTTTCTAGCCCAAATCTCTCAATACTTCCAAATTATTTATATAAACAAGTTCCAAAGGCCCAAAACCATGTGGGTAGGCTTATTTCAGCAATGACCTCACTCTTGTACTGTTTGTGTGTTGATGGCTGGTGCAATCCTCTTACAAAGCACCTCACATAACAACTTAAAAAGAGGAAAGGTTTATTTTGGCTCATGATTTCCAAGTATTTAGTTCTTAATTCATTGGCCCCATGTGACTGGCAAATCCTCATGGTAGTGCAAGCACATAAAAAATAAAAAAAATAAAAATAAAAAAATAAAAAAACCTACTGATATCACAGTGGACCCAATGAAAGATAGCAAGAAAGAAAGTAGTTTTTCAAGTATACATTCCCAAGGCTGTTGTCTACCAGATAGACCCACCATCTAAAGCTCCCATAGCCTCCTGAAATTATGCCAGAAGTTGGGAACAAAGATTTTAAAACATGAGACTGTAGGAGATACTTCATATTTGCACCGTCACAAAATGTGTGATCCAATTCCAGGTCGAATGGGAGAATAGAAATAGCTTCGAGACACATCTTAACTGGAATAAGGGACTCATGAGCCTAATTCAGAAAGTAGAGGTCTTTCAAACTCAAGTATAAGGAAGAAAGCAGAGGCAGCCAAGCATATATAATAGTAAAAATGAATAGTGATTGTAAATTAGGTAGAAAAAAATGAGACATTTTCAAGATCTGATTCCCCATGTGGGGAGTCTGGATCTGTGTGTTTGATGGAAGGCACAGAGGCTTGTGAAAAGCTTTAGTGAGAATGCGTCCTCTCTCACTTTTGAGCTCTCCTTCCTGCTCCCTCTCTGGGTTTGGTTTGTTTTTAATTTTGACACAGGGTCTCACTCTGCATTTCAGAATGTACTGGAACTCACGGTGCAGCACAGAGTGACCTCTTAAATTATAATGGTTCTCTTTCTTTGAACACACTAGCGCTGAGATTGTGAGTGTGAGCCACCACCCCCAGCTGAGAGTGTGGCTATTTTAAAGACTGTTTTAAAGGGGTGGAAGCAGAGAGTCAGATCAGTGTCCAGTACAGGAAAAGTGGCTGTAGAGAAATGGAAGAAAATCAGAGTATGAGTTGTCCACAGAAGTCGTGACTATTATGGTAGTTTAGTGTAGATTGTAGATTACTAGTGGGTAGAGGGATTGGTGAGTATTCTCGGTGATACTATTACCCTTTGTAAGGGTGCAGCCATTTAGCTATAGTCCAGATGCACACAGACAGAAAGAAACCAGCATCCTGAATTTAGATTAGCATAATTAAAAGTGAAACAGCTGTGGCAGAAAATAAAAATATTCACAGAGAATGGGTATTTCGGGAGGCAGACATGACGTGGAATGCAGGAAAGACGACTGTGGCAATATGCTAACTTTTCCCTCATAAGAATCATTTCACCAAAGCCTAATTGCAACACACTTCATTGATTAGGACTGCATCGTTCACAGAAAGAAATACCCTTCACGTGTTAACACAGTGTGTGGAACCAAGACACTTTTTCTCTACAAAGCCATTCATTGTAAAAGTCGGTTTATCTCCACTGATGGTTTTCTTTGCCTTCATCCAGACAGATCAATTATTTCATTTCAGGGTTTGCCTGCAAGTCGGGTGAGGTATCGAGTGGATGATGTGCAGTTTCCGTACCCTGCCAGCATTTTTGATGTAGAAGAAGATTCTGGAAGAGTAATAACTCGTGTCAATCTTAATGAAGAGCCTACAACCATTTTTAAGGTCAGTGTGGCATTTTCTTTGTGACAGCACTGTGACATTTAGCACTGAGGGTTTGACTTAACAGTTGTCAATATGACTTTTTCTACTTTTCAACTCTTTAATTTTTAAAAGTCATTTCTCATTGAAATTTGGAAGTTGTATTTTAAAATAAAAGAATTACTTTATATTTTATATATTTGACATAAGCAGATGCTGCTACTTGATCTTATCATGAGTGTCAATGCTTTACAATAATCATGACATTCAATCTGTACTCAACTATATATTGTCCATACCAATCAACAACCATAAAGCTATTATCTTAATGACTATATGGTGTTCTGTTGTGTAAGTAAACCATTACATTTTTCTTTGTGCTTCTATTGCTAAAATAGTAGATCATTAGATTGTTACTGTGTTTTTATAGCAAGCGCCTCTATTGTCTGAAACAACTGTGTGAATGTCACTGTACGCCTGCTTGCAAGCAGAAAAGTGACTACAAGTATAACTGCAGACGCGAAATTTTCTCTTGACAGATAATAACCTAAACTGAGTTCCTTTGTATTAATAACCTATAATTTTCACCATAATATACATCTCTGTGAAAATGTTTGGCATACCTTTACATAAATATTAGAGCACTTATTTGTGTATTATGGTTGCAAAAAGAAAGTATTAATTACTATTGCAGTAGTAATCCATAGATATTTCCACAGAAGTCTAAAACTTTTCAGTTTATTTGTTTGAATAATTCCCACTGTATACTGCATGGTCGTGGTTTTCAATGGACTAGTTGTTTTAAGACATTAATTAATGAAGTGTTAACTATAAAGGTCATCTATTTTATTCTCTAGAGGAATTCATTTCTACTCTTTAAATTCAGGGAAAATTAATTTTTTATAAGTACTCTAATTATCTTTTTGCTGTTGATACAATTGGATTTAACACCTTTTATGTAAGTGTGTTGATGCTGTAAAAGTAGATTTTTCTCCTTATCAGCAGCATTTACTGTAAATATCTATTTAGAATTACACAGACAGAGCATCATCCACATACTCTGCAAGAAATTGGCTTATTTTCTTAATAGAATCAGTAACTCATTTGATTTTTTTTCTTCTAGCAATGACATTACATAGCTGAATGTTTTTGAAGATTAAGGGGGAATGTGGCATGCTCTAACACAGTGTTTTTTTCCTTGAAGGGAGTAGGAAAATGTTTACTTCTTCCCACAGCTGGAACCAGAAACAAAATATCAAAATCTTTGATGCCGTCTGTGTTGACATTTTCTCCTATTTATAATCTGTATGTGGATCCTGTCACCTTTTTAGCTGGTGGTTGTGGCTTTTGATGATGGCGAGCCTGTGATGTCCAGCAGTGCCACCGTGAGAATTCTCGTCTTACATCCTGGAGAGATCCCACGCTTCACCCAAGAGGAATATAGGTATGCTTTTCTGTCAGGTTTCAGAACACTGAGCTTTTAGTATGCTTTAAAGGCACTCTCAAAATTGATCTGAGTTTAACGAATGATGTTGACTTTCAACTCCAGCTTGATATTAAAATTAGAATGAAATCTTTGACGACATACCACAAGCAACCATTTAGTATGAAGCACTTTAGGAATGCTTCAGTGAATAACTGATCCTTTATAAATAATAAAAGCATTCTGAAATATAATCATATAGTTCTAAGGCATTAGGGAACCCAGTGGTGATAAACAGATTTTTAGTTCTCATTGTAACCAGTACAATGTGACCTACACCTCTGAAGTATGATCTACAGCAACACTTTCTAAGTCATGTGATGTGTGTCTTCATATTATGTTATGTATTATAACAAGGGCATTTTCAACTCATCAAGTGACAAAAAAAATAATTCAGACTAACCAATGAAGTGAGACAGTCTAGGGAAAGTTGACAAGTGTTAGAGAATGTCCTGTAGGTCAGAACCCCCTTGCATGTGCTCCGACAATGTCACCAAATGATTGGCTGAGTTTTATTTTCGAAGTTGCAAATTTCATTAATAGAATTTTATTCAATTAGTATCTATATTAAGACACTGTATGAAATTCTAAATTATTCATTAAGCAAAATATTTTAATTTTCTAAAACAGTGGTATTAAATAAGGACACTTGGAAATGAAAGCTAAATGAACCTGTCCTACAGTTCATTTTGTTATGGTCGTGGTGGCCTGCCATCCAAGATTCTCTGGGGCACTAGCATCATCAGGATAGATTCATACCCAGTCGTTCTTACAGATGCCTTTTTGTTATGTCTGCACATGACAAAGAAAGTCAGCTCTTTGCAAACTCTCATTATGTGCTCGCAAGCATGTATGTGCACATATATGATGTGACCCGCATATGTGTGTGTGTGTGTATACATACGGTTTTTAATTCTCTTATAATCCAAAATCTTGACTCTTCTTCAGCTTTAATCAGTATCATCTTCTCATTTCTAGTTTGTCTCAAGAAAGACTGGATTGCTAAATTTCCTAGAACCTAAAGCAGACTCCATCATTCCTCGTTTATCCTGATAGTGATGCTGATTCATAGATGAGGAACATTTGCCCTTATTTTGGTGAATAATCTCTACATTCCCTCCAAGACAGCTGAAGGGTTGTAAACATCCGCAGCACAAATATGCAATCATGAATCAATATACAATACAGAAATTTTAATTTCAAAATATTTCTAATAAACTTATTACTGCAAGAGGCTATCGGTCCTAGAATAAAAGCTGTGTTACCTGTTGGTGACAGAATACACCATGAAAACGTAGTCCACCAGGAGACAGTAGCACCACTGTGTTGGGGAAACAAGGTGTATAGATATGCAATCATGCCTGAATACCCACATTCTATTGAGCTGAGTTGAAGGTTTGGCATAGGGTTATCCATAACAATACTGATAAATGGCCCACATCTGTCAGTCATTGTCAACATCAGTGTAACAGGGATGATGGAGTCTCCACTGGGTTCCAAAGAATTTAATTCATTTAGTCTCTTCTGGGACAAATTGGGATTGGAAGATGCTACTAATTGAGCCTCAAGAGCAAAAGAAATTTCTGATGACCATGGAGTTCATCCTGCTTTTAAATTTGGTCCTTAATGCATTATAATTTTAAATAAGTACTTAAGATCTTGTTTGAAGTTCCAGCAGGAGCCAAGATACTGGCGGGTGAAATAAATGAGGACATATCTTGGGAACATCAGCCCCCACAAGAAAATGTTTTCTTTATAATACTGTAGCTCAGAATGGACTTCCATGACGTAACTCCTGGACAGTCCTCCAAAGCAAGCACACAAACTGTACTAAGTTCTAAACTAAAGGTGAAACAAGGAAAACTCGTAGTTGATGTGACTGTGAGGCCATTTCTCCATCATGCCCATCGTTGCTGTCCCTCTCGCTTGGTTGTTCTGGAATTCTTTGTCTCTGGTTTGCAATGGGCTCAGTTTTCTGCCATTGGAAAGATTTCCCTGAATTTTATTGGATGCAAGCACCAAGGTGACAGATTCACAAGGTTCACCTTTATGTCAACTTGATACAGGTTATAACCATATGGGAAGAAGGAAACTCAACTGAGTAAATGCTCTCTATGCTGTAAGGAAGCCCATAGGGCATTTTCTTAATTAGTGATTGATGTGGGAGGGCCCAGTCCTTTGAAGGTGGTGCTATCCCTGGGCTTGTGGTCCTAAGAGCTATAAGAAAGAAGACTGAGCAAGGTAAGAGGGAGTAAGCCAGTAAGTAGCACTCCTACATGGCCCCTGCATCAGCTCCTGCCTCTAGGTTACTGCCCCTCTTGAATTCCTGCTCTGATTTCCCTCTGTGATGGTCTATATTGGAAGCTGTAAGCTACAGTAAACCCTTCGCTCTTGGGTCTTTTATGATCATAATTTTTCATCATATAGTGATATTTTATTTATGTTTTAATAAATAAATCTTTTCTGAGTAGCATATGGGCAAAATTAGCCACTAGAGGTCAGACAAACACCTATAATCTTAGGATTTGTGAGAACAGAGGCAGATGAATCTCTGTGAGTTCAAGGCCATCCTGGGCTACACAAGATCAATGCAGAAACAAATCCAGGTGGTGGTGGTGGCATATTCCTTTAATCCCACTACTAGTGAGTCACATGCCTCTAATCCCAGCACTAGAGGGAATATAAAATAGGAGGCGAGGGAGGCTCAGTCTGCTTAGTCTTCATAGACTGCTTAGTCCTCTTAGTCTGCGATCACCCAGCCTTGGTAGAGGTTAAGATTTCTCTAGTGGCTTGGCTGCTTTGCTTTTCTGGTTTTCAGGTTGAACCCCAGTTTCTGTCTCTGGGTTTTTATTATTCATGCTACACATCACAGCAATCATAAATGAAATTCTACTTCTCCTGACTGTTTACCTAAATTCCAGTCCTTCCTTGGAAACTCTAGGAGAAAAACAAATAAGCAGCACAGCTGGAAGTGGAGGAAGCAGTATCTCTCCTTGCGTGAGCTCTGGACATCCAGCCCTTTCTCTGGTCCCCAGCTTGGGACTTGGCTTGTTCCCCATCAATAACAGGTGTGCCTCAGACTCTCAGACAATCACGCTGATCTTTGTCTCCTTTGGGTAAAACATTGAGTCTTTGAGGCCAAGGTCATGCTGAGAATCTGGACATTATTCATTTAGCTTTCTTTTCTATGTGTCCTTGTTAAATACTAATTTTGAAAAACACAAATGTTTTGCTCAATAAATAATTTAGCATTTCATACTGTGTCTGAATATAAATACCAACTACAAATGAATTCTATTAATAAAATTATTAACTTACAGAACAAAAAATTGCCAATTATCTGTTGCTAAAAACAAAAGCCATCACAAGGTCTTTAGGAGGGTTCTGACCTTCAAAAACTTGCTAACAGCTACAGTGCCTCTCTGATTGTCTCAATCCTACGTTCTTTTGAATCAAAAAGAAGATTTAGCAATCTTGTAACTTATTGTTTATGGATAGACTCCTACATAAGAGTCAGTGTTACGGTTGAAATGGATTCAATAGAATTTGGTACTGAAAAAGAAGACTTTGCTTTCTACCGGATACCCAGGAACTCTGGAAAACAAAAAACAATGATAGCAGATATAAGCAGAAAACATTGCTCATACAATGTTCTAGGAAAACCTTAAAACAGTGGGCAGCTCCCTAGCAATCTCTCCAGCTTCGCTGATTTGGGGGACACTCATGACAGTGTTTCTGGACTCCCTAAGTCCTTTCTACTTTCTCATTAGCGTCCAGCCAAACTGTTTCCCAAGTCCACTTGCTATCGGGAGTCACAGAACAGAGCTATACTTTTGGAAATAAAATGTGGCACTGAATAGTCTTTACCATGTTTTGGCCTGATTGAACCGTTACCCCCAGGAATACCTGAAATACAGAGCCCACCCAACACAACCCTGTCAGCCAACTGTTGACAAAGGTAGAAACACAAGACAAGAAATTTATAATTTTGTCTTTACTAGGTACTACTATTTCAAATGATATAATTTAACCTTATATTGATTTGAAAGAACTTATCACACAATTTATTAATCATACTGAAAGTCATTCTCATTCATGTTGCAGCATTTTTTCATGTTCCTTTTGAAAGCATCGTCTATAACGATGACTCATGTCATTATATTTTCAGTCCCTGGCTGTGGCGTTGTTCTTACGCTACAGCAGACTACCTGAGAAGCCATCCCTGCTGCTTTCTAGTACAGAACCATGAGGTATAAGATGCCTACTGCCTTTGCTCTCTTACTTTTAAATCCATTCACTGCCTTGGCAGTTTGTGTATCACTCCCAGAGGGCGAAGAGGCATCCATCTATGACTGTATAGGAGACGCTTTGTGTTGGTGTCAGTCCTGGTAGAAGAAAGCACAAATCCTTCTAGGATCAAATTTTGCAGAGATATAAAACGGGAATGTGTCCATTCGGACCCTGCGGTGTGGACTCACAGTTGACATGCGGACAGTATTTTCTAAGAAAAGTCGTACTGGAAGCTGAAATACTTGTGGTTTTGGGTCTCAGAACTGTTTCCATTCAAATGTTGATGTCTAGGTTCCTAATAGGAAATTTATTTCCCCGAAGAAAACCAGCCCACAAACCAAAATCCCAGAGAATCTAGACAGCAATAAGGACCCTAAGAGAGACATACTTAGATCTAATCTACATGGGAAGTAGGAAAAGACAAGTTCTCCTGAGTAAGTTGGGAGCATTGAGACCTTAGGAGAGGGTTGAAGGGGAGGGGACAGGTAGGGAGGGGAGCAGAGGAAAACGTAGAGCTCAGCAAAAGTCAATTAAAAATGGACACGTATAAAGATGAACTAATCTTGTAGCTCAGGAATTTAAACTGAATTCTTGACAATCTTGACACCATCTCTCATTAACCCTACCATTTCATATATTGGAACTACCACTTAAATCACTCAGTCTCTCAA